GGGGGATTATAGTTTTGTGTGGGTGTGAGTGTGTGTGTGTGTCTGTGTGTTTGTCTGTATGTGTGTCTGTGTGTGTTTGCTTTGTCGTTGGGTCTATTCTATTGGCTGAGTTTGTTTCTTTTGGGTCATTGATCTCATATTTTCGTGTTTTTTAGAATAGGTGTGCCTTTTGCATTTTTAAAATCTAATTTGTAGGAACTGACATGTTTGAAAGTTTCTATTCCGGCATGTTATCTTTTTATCTGTAACAAATAAGCACTTTCGGCAAACCCGGGACCTTTCTTTTCCGTATCTGAATGAGAGATACAAAACTCTTTTCAAGAACTTCCGAAGGAACTTTCTCGATCTTTGTGTCCCTGGTTATCTCTGAGCCATTATCTTATTTGTCTTGAAGGCAACAAATGTATGATGTTTGCACAGCACTATAGGTGGTTATCATACCACGCCTCTTCGGCCACGATATTTTTTTTCTTTTAAAAAAAAAGATTTTTGACAACACTGTTTTTAATATTCTTTTAAAATCTTTTTTTTTTTTTCATTTCAAAGGCAAGAGTGATGGGACGTTCAAAGGCAAGAGTGATGGGACGAGGTGAACCTTCTGGGGTCGGTGAAATGGTGGGCGGGTGGGCAGGGGGGCGGGGGGGGGAGAAGACAATTGTGATGTCTTCCTTCCACTTGAAGACCCCCCAAAAAATGCATTTCTCTTTGGGTGTGACACGCATGGTTTAATAAGTAATAATAAAAGTTCGTACATTATGAACTGGTGATTATGTTTAACACCCAGGGAGGAATACAAGTTAAAGACCTCGGCATGGTAAAGTGAAGAGAGTAAAGGAAAGGAAATAATAGCATGTAACTTGTAGTGATCACAAACGCCATAACTCAGCGCAGATTGCAGCACATTTCCTATTCTTGGAGTGGTGTGTCTAGCTGCGGGCTGTGTCACAGCACATTTTATGTAAGAATTGCCTAGAGAACCATAAAGTGATTTTTAGTTTTAGTAGAGGTTTTACGACGCTCGCAACTGCATAAGGTCATATGAGAGCCAGAAGATTAGAGGTGTTACAAGAGAGTAACAAACATTTTTTTTTAAAAGTAAAAGGGGAGATAAGGACGATAGATGTTTGACAGGAAAGAAGAAGCAAACCATACCAGAGCACCCGCCAACCACCCACCTATAAAGTGAATTAGAGTCCGCCCAGTTTTTTTTACAGAAGAGTTTTACGGCACTTGAAGAATCAGCTTCCTGTCACATTGTCAAAAACCCACATTCCGGTACCAGGTAAGAGCAAAAAGCCCCAAATCAAACAAAGCCATGACATCTTCTTCCAATTGAAATCATCTTTTATTTAGCATGTTTTGATACAAATATTATTCAGCATAAAAATACATGTGTAACACATTGTAAATTCTAGATTATGAAGGTGAATTCACATCTATGGAAAGCCTGTATGGTAAAAAGTATAAAAATTTGTCATCCTCAATAATAAAAAGACAATAAGTCAAAGGTTAAGGCAGCCAAGCTTGAAAATTATTAGTGTCTTTTTGCCCACATAATAATTATGTCTTTACGCAAGACCAGACAGATAGCACTAATAGCAGAAGAGAGAGGAATGTGGAGGAAAGAAAACAAAGTAAGAGTAGACGAATGTTACATCATCATC